CCACCAAAATGACCTAGAGGACTCAGCACCATCAGGCATTCAGAGGAAGGCTGGGATGTCACTGAGGAGGGTACCTGGGGGAACTGCTCCTCAGCATCCTCATCCCTCCAGGTCCACCCTGGATCAAAAGATTTGCCTTAGGCTCAGTGGAAGGAGGAGATTGAAAGGGAGACACACAGGACTGGAGGATTATACCAAGTTATACTGGGTTCTGGACATCTCTGTGTCTTGTACAAGAGAAGCAGTAGTATTGAAAGTAACCACATGGAACAATTTGCAAGGTCAGGGTTAGCTCAGATGTTTTTCATGTGTTGCCCATGCAAGTGTAGGAGGAGGACCAGAATTCCCTTTGCAGGAAAACATGGAGCCGTAGAATGAGCACCCTTGATGGCACCTGAATCTGCTCTCCTGCATTCTTTTTCCTTGTCAGGAACTGTTATCTGAAAACCCCCTGACTACTACATGGGTCTGCTCACCCTTTTTTACTAGCTGTGTGACATCAGACAAGTTAATTCACCTCTCTGAACCTTAATTTTCCCACATGAACTCTAGGATGAAGAATCTTGTCCTGTAATACTTTGCAGGTGTCTTCTGAGAGAGAAAAGAGATAAACGTATGCATATTTCCTTGTAAACTATGTAAGGCTATCCAGATGTGAGGTTAGCTTGAGAGTAGTATGCCTGAGGGTTCCTGAAACCCATAAGTTTTAATAATACACAGACTTATGTAATGCATGTGGGATGGCAACGTGCTCTTGAGGGCTCAAGATGCACCTGTAATTCCCTCTGGCTCTTACGTCTCCAGCCTTCCTTCTTTGCTCACGTGTAAGCAGTCTGCATGGACGTAGAAAGGTCAGGGGATTACAGGCCAGTAAATCTGAGTTCAAAGCTGGCTCTGCCATTTACTAGCTATGGATGAGAAAATCAGAGCACTCTTCCCAGTATTTGTCTTCCCATCTGTAAAATGGGGATGATGCATCTTCCTCTGGCAGTTGTAGTGGGGGAACTAATGAGAATATGAACATGACAGCACTTGGCACATGGCGACTGGCAACAAAACAAGTGTTACAACACACGGACAGTGGCGTGAGTCTGATCTGCGTATCTCAGCTCCACTCCCTGTTAGCTAGCTGTGTAGCCTTGGGCAAAATCTCTTCACCTCCTTGATAGTTTCCTCATATGTAAACTGGTCATAACAAGTACTTAACAAATAGTACCATTCAAGGATTTAGTAAGAGAACCCAAGTGCTAATTTGCATACACTTTAAAAAATGTATATTAATAACAAATATCTTTCCAACCGGGCATAGAGGTTCACACCTGTAATCCCTGCACTTTGGGAGGCTGAGGCGGGTGGATCACAAGAGGTCAGGAGTTCAAGACCAGCCTGGTCAACATGATGAAACCCCATCTCTACTAAAAATATAAAAAATTAGCCGGGCATGGTGGCAGGTGTCTGTAATCCCAGCTACTCAGGAGGTTAAGTCAGGAGAATCGCTTGAACCCGGGAGGTGGAGGTTACACTGAGCTGAGATCGTGCCACTACACTCTAGCCTGGGCAACAAGAGCGAAACTCCATCTCAAACAAACACGAATAATAAATATCTCTCCTCCTTTTTCAGAATTGGGATCATTTTGCGCTTTTTGTGCTGTGAAACACACACACAGAAAGTTTCCTTTCTGACACTGTTCTTTGAAATGAAGATGCATGTTTATTGCTCTTTTTTCACACATTGTTGATGATATCGATGCCTATCAAATTGGTGCTCATCAGCGTAAGAAAGGAAGTGAGGAGGACAAGAAAAAAGGACAAAGAAGAAAGAAGAGGTGGGGATGGGGTCAAAGAAGTACATTATTGTTTTGTTCATCCTTAAAAGCTGTGTAGCACAAACCAGGTCCTGGTGGACTGAGCAGGGCTGATGTTGGGGCTGTCTTGGAAGAAAGACCCTTCCTTTGGTCATTTTAATGACTTCAGAATCTACAAGCTCCTCCCTTCACTCACCCATCAAGCCTTGAAGACAATGATACCACTTTCCAGAAAATGGTCAAGGACCAATGCACCCTGCTGTCATATCCTTCATGGCAGCCCCAAGACTGGCCCTTCGCCATTCATTGAATTAGGCAGAGTCAGGGCTGGAAGTTCTCTTACTGATTATTGAATCAGCCCCTTTTATACCTAACCTCATACTAGAATCATCTGTACAGCATTTTAACAAATGACTGACTGCTCGTACTTCCAGGCCAGCACAATGATTGGCAAGTAGAAGGCACCCATGAAGTTGACGAAATGCTTATATGTATGCATGCGTTTAAGGGGAAATAAAGCAATGCATGTGAGGGTGTTTGCATGAGGGAAAGCACAGTGGACAGTCTGGTGGTGAAGATCACAATTTTAGGAGTGAATACAGCTGTTTTAAGTTCTGGCTCTGTGATGACCTTGAGGCAGCTCTGGTTGGAAGGAGGTAATAAGACACTGTTCATAAAACACTTATCAAAGAGCCTGGTGTGCAACAAGCACCTAAGAAATGGGCATCATGATGGATGTATGTGAGGGAAAAAAAACCAAATGTGCATGGGAAGTATCAGAGAAAAGAGACAGAATTGAAGAAGAAGGAGAGAACTGTGGCTAATAACCTCAGAAGTGTATTTTACATGTCCCTGCAAAACCACATGGACATGTCAATTTAATGTCACTATTAAAAATATTGGGGGTTCTTTCTGCTCGGTACTCCAGAAATTAAGACATTAATAGTCATTAATACTATTGGGGAAGTAAAGGAAGCTTCCCTGATACGGTAACTTTCTCCCAGTTTTGCTATAATCAGACCTTGGCTCATCTTGTCAACTCCATTTTTATCTCCCTTTGCTTGTGTATGTGTTCATGCACATACGTTTAAAGTTTAAAAGAATATATCACATATTGCCTAGCATAATGGTGGTGCTTAGTAGGTGCTTAACAGATTCTAATTGAATGAATGAGCTACATCTAGTTATGTGGATACTATAGCATTCTATCCACAAGTTCACAGGCTAACAGGAGAGAGGGACATTTATCTTTCCAAGCTGGGGGATGAGATAGATTTTCAAATATCAAATATAGAGCAGAGATTACAACAAGTCATAATCTTGGTCTGAGCTATTCTTGCCTTACTTGGTAAAATGAACATCCTATTATGCACCATAAAGGGTATGAAAAAGCATATAGTTGGTGCTAAATCCATCATCATCACCATTATTGGAAAACTCTTCTAATCAGCCCATGGTCCAGAAGTTTCATCCCTCCTTGATACAGCCTGTGAAGGATCACCAGATTCATCTTCCTAAAATCCTACTTTTCACTACTACCCCAGACAGACAAACCTCTTTCTCTGATGCTCTCAGAATAAAGACCAACCTCAACGTTGCATTTCAGAAATTGGTCTCAACCTATCTCTGAATGTGTAAACAGACTCTGGTAAGATTTCCTCACTTTGGCCCACACTGTTTCCTACAGGTAGAAATGTCCCCCCATTATCTCTGTTCTTTCTCTTTTCTGATCTTCAAGACCAATGACCGTATTATTTCTTCCAGCAGACCTTCAGTCTTTATGAGTCTCCATCATCAGTATGTAAGTATTGATGAGCACCTGCTATCTGGCACAGATGTAGTTGGTCATTGACCCAGGCATCTTTGTGCACCCGCCACAGGACACTTGAGTTGTTTCTTGATAGTTCACACAGGTAGTTGTTGAGGCACAGCCTCTCTCTTCTCCTAAGTCTTTTTGAGGTCCTCATACTGTTTTTGGTTGTTTAGTTGTTGTTCTAATATTTTTTCATGGCAATGATCACATTGATAATATGATTCATTTCTGAGGTCACCCTCCAATGGTTCTCTCCCCCACTAGAATGTAAGCCTCATCAGAGCAGAGAGTACATGTGTGTCACTACCCTGTATCACTATGTAGAGCTTGTATCACTATATAGAGCCCTCTGTATAGTTGCCAGGACGTAAGTCCTCAATAAATATTTGTGGAATGGATAAAAAATAAAATATTTTTGTGCCCAAGGCTATAAGGAATCCTGCTTCGGGTGGGTTTTTAGGTTTTAGACTATCTTTATACTGTACCACATATGTATTCATTATGGAATGGCTAAATTGAGTTAATTAAGTATGCATTACCTCATATGCTTATCAGAGTTTTTGTGGTGAGAACACTTAAAATCTATTCTCTTAGCAATTTTCAAGTGTGCGACATTAACTATGTCATCATGTTGAAAATAGATCTCTTGAACTGATTCCTGCTGTCTAACTAAAATTGTGTATCTAGTTTCCAAACACTCCTCTTGGTACTGGAGGGAGCCCTGATTTAGAGGCAGGAAGGGGATTCCTTGTTATATCATATGAGCCCTTTCAACTTCCTGGCCTTCGATTTTTCCATCTATATAATGGGAGGTTGGCGTCCGTGGTCATTAGGCTTGGATGTATAAATAGTGAAAGAAGTAGCAGGGAGTTAGGAAAACACAACTTAGCTGTGTGTTGGCAAGAGTGAGCTATGTGACTTTAGGCAAGTCACACTCTCTCTCAGGTGTCCATTTCCTCATTTGTGAAAGAAGATGACCGTGGTAAAAAATAAATTCTAGCAGTCTTCTTGAAAATGCAGAGAAAAACATTTCTACGTGGAGCGTAGTAAGACACGAACTTGTGCTTTATTTGCCACTATTCATCTTGGGCAAATTTCTTTTCACCCATGGTCACTTCATGACTTTCATGGACTCCTTCTTCCATAAATAAATAAGTAAATAATATATATATGCTTCATGATTGCATTGTTATGAACGTAAATGTAATTGAGAGGCTGGATTCCTTATTATAGATGTATTATTATTATATTATTTTTTCTTCTCATTCTACAAGAAATTAAACCACTTTTGTAGTTTAACGAAAGTACTGTAGACCTCAGGCATTGTGCCAACTATGTCTAACAGATGAGTCATCAGCCTTGTTTTCATCTTTGTACCTCAGTTCCTCATCTGCGGAAGAGCACTGGGAGGAGGAGGCACTGAGCACCTGTAGCCAATCTAAGGAGCCAAGAGAAATGGGGAAGATTCCCACATGGGCAAGTCAAATGACGTAAATTTCCTACCTAATGCAGGCCTACAGCAAGTTATATACAAACACAGCCCAGACAGTGTGGGCTGAGCTCTAAAGACAAAGCTCCTCTTTCGGATGAGCCTGCCATCAATTCATCCTGGCCCACACAGCCTAGGGTGAGCCTTTCCAGAGAGAGATGGCAAACGGAGATAAGAAAGGGACAAGGCCAGACAGGCATATCGCCACCTTGCAGGGCTGGTGTCCTCCAGAATTACCCTTCTAGGCAGGGAGAGCAATGACAGCTGATGCTTACCAAGTGATTACTGCATGCTAGGTATCGTGTGAACCTCTTTGCATAGATAACTTAGGTAACTCTCACAATAATGCAAGCAGGGAAATATTATTATTGTCGCCATTTAACAGATGAGAAAACTGAGGCTCAGAGAGTCCAAATAACTCACCTAAGCCTAAGTAACCTGTTGGAAAGTGACAAAGATGGAGTTGAACCCCAGGCAATCAGACTCCAGAATTCACATTTAACTTCTATTTTTTCTGCTTAGCCAGGAGAAAGCTGACTACTCCGGGACAGGAGGCTGCTTTTAATGATACATAAAGACTAATAAAGCGAGTTCTGAAGTACTGGTCCAAGCAAACAGAGCTCAGCAGAAGGAATGCTTGATTCTGACAAGAAGATGCAGGGAAGTTTTCCTGGATGAGTCTCAAAAGAGCTAAGACTTGCATGAGGTACAGGATTTGGGAAGGAGAAGCTGGGCAAAGACTTTCTAGCACAAGGTGAAGCATAAGCAATGGCAAGAGCTGTGAAGTCCACCTAAATGTAACTCTCGAGATGAGAAAGACATCCGCTTTTGATGGGATTGAGGGTGCACAGAGTAACAGAGGGAAGTGAAGTGGCAATGGCTGTCTGAGACTAGATCACAAAGGGTTGTGAACAACATGCCAACAGATCTAAAGTTTCTTCCATAGAAAAGAATGAATCTTTGGTGTTTTTTGAGGCAGTCCATGGGAGTGGGTAGGGATCATTAGCTGGGGATTATGGTGTTCCTTTTGATAGTCACAGAGCTAACAGAGCCAGGCCTAAAGTGTTAGGACTCCCGTCCAGTGCTCATGTGGCAACCTGGAGCACAATTTCAAAGACAGAGGTCGATACACTACTAAGTTTCTATTGTTTTGACATCTGTTAGAAAATCATAAATTATAAATAACTCAACGCAAAAATGCTTTAAGCTCTAAATAAATAGTATTTAGATGCTGTTTGGGACTTCAGAATTTTAATTTTGTTCCACTAGGTAGAGGATGATTAGCTCAGCCTTGATCCTGGTCTCTAGCTGACCTTGAGCAAGTATCATCTACCTTCTGCCCCTTGGTTTCCTCATGTATTCAACTGAAGGAGGATGAAGAGTTGGGCTTCAGATCACTTTATTTCCCTGAGAGTCTATCTCATGCCTATAATCCCAGCACTTTGGGAGGCCGAGGCGGGTGGATCATGAGGTCAACAGATCGAGACCATCCTGGTCGAAATGGTGAAACCCCGTCTCTACTAAAGATACAAAAAATTAGCTGGGCCTGGTGGCGCGTGCCTGTAATCCCAGCTACTCGGGAGGCTGAGGCAGGAGAATTGCCTGAACCCAGGAGGCGGAAGTTGCTGTGAGCCGAGATTGCGCCGTTGCACTCCAGCCTGGGTAACAAGAGCGAAACTCCGTCTCAAAAAAAAAAAAAAAAAACTCCTTGAAAGAGATTTTACCTCCTTTGTCTTCATATCCTCAGTGATTACCTTGAGACCTGATAAATGGTAGACTCTGTAAAATATTGTGGAATTCATGGTACAAAATAAGTTTTCAACTCAAGACTCTAGTGGGGGCACTTTATGTCAAAAATTTAGAAGTGGTGAGCATTTTTTTAAATAAGAAAGGCATAAAACAAGCAGATCAGTAACCCAGACAGGTTAGTATTTCCTCTTTGGCTGTAAAAGATGCTGAGGAACTGAAAGATAATGAAAAAGAGAAGACTGATGAGGAGGAGGCCAAGAACACTGTAAGGTCAAGGGGTAAAACAAATGTTCAAAAGTATAAAGGAAGAAATATGTGTTTTAGGAGCATCAGGTAATTCAGTTTAATCAGAAGAATCCATGTACGTCAGTGGCTCTCAACCAGTAGATTTTGCCCGCAGGGAAAATTTGGCAACGTCCGCAGACATTGTGATCATCACAACTGGGGAGGAGGGTACAGCTACTGCATCTAGTACATTTTGACCAGGGATGCTGCCAAACTCAACAACAAGGAATCATGCATTCTGAAAATGTTAACAGTGCTGAGGTTGAGAATCCGTGGTGGAAAGAACGAGGGAAAGTTAAGGTAGGAAACAATGTTAAGGGAGGAAGGTGAATGTGAGGCTACAGAATCCAGACCCAATCTAGAGAGGTTTATGGTAGAGGGGTTAGAACATGCACTCTGAAGAATGCTCCTACCACTGACTTGTATGGACCTTGGGAAATTCACTTAACATTCCTCCTCTCTCATCTGGAAAACTGAGGTCATAATAGTACCTACTTTAGAGGGTCATGGTGAGGATTAAAGAGTTAATGTACGCAAAATTTTTAGAACAGTGCCTGACACATATTCTACGTTAAATATATTAGCTGTTACGCACAGGTTATAGGGAGCTACAGTAGACACAAGTTCAGAGAGCAGCCATACAGGCTCCTCAGTCGCTGACAACCTTAGAAAAGGGCTTAGAGCTGCATGATTATCATGTGACTATTATATCCACCCAATTAATAATCCTGCAATCAGCTTCTGCTTCAGATGACACTGCAGGCGGATGTGTTTGGGTTTGTCTTGCTGTCTGCAAGGAACTCCCTGTCTGGGCTTTGTCTCCTAGATAGCCACAATGCCCAGACCAGCATCCGACTGCCTCTCCTGTTCAGGCACCCCATGGTTTTAACGAATAAGGAGAAGGAGATAAAGAAAGTCAGACATGAGGACAGATGGAAAGACGGAAAGGCAGGAAGCCTTCTGTGAAAGCTTCTGCCTGTGATACACACTGTTCACAGGGGTTCCAATGAAAGATGCAGGGGCATGTTTCAGAGGTTTGTTTGAGCTACTGATACTGTTCTTTGGGAACCCTTGTTTGTAAACAGATATTTCTGCTAATACTAGGCTTTGTAAGGATGGACAGAGTCAGGGGGAGGGGTGGGAGTAGGGGTTGGAGAAAAAGGCAGGTTGTGTCCTAGAGCCTTAGACCATGTGTTTGCTGTTGAGAATACAAAGACCTCGCTGTATAAAATGAAAATGCTTGTTTTCCAAGGCGAGTGGGAATATGATAGGTACATGTCGAAATGCTTTAGAAACTGAAACAACCCCATGCCACGACGGCATTCTGCTACATTATACATCCAGGGGCATACACAAAACATGAAGGCTCCTCATCACGAAAAGAGGGCTTTGGGAGGTTGTGGGAAAAGAGAGTCCCAGGAGCTGAGTGACTGGCAGCTCCCTCCCTCTGGTCTCACCTAAGCCTGCCCTTTCCCAAAGAGAGGCCTCCATTTCAGACTTTCTATTGGTTTTCCAGTACCTGCTAACCTAAGGGTAGAAACTGTTTAAAATATTACTGTTGATAAAAGAGTCTCTAGTAGCATAGTTCCAGACTCAGAGCACTACCAGGAATATTTATGATGATAGAACTATGCAGGCAGAATACTTTAACTTTTTCAAAGTAGTTTTCAACGAGTGTTTTTCACATTGTACTCTACGGAAGCACAAGGTTCACTGAAGACATCTCGGGTTTTTTTTTTTTTTTTTTTTAAGAACTTACGGCAGCATAAAAACAAGAACTGGAGCCTCCTAACTCTTTCTCCAGCCCTAGCACAAAGACTGGTAAATGGAAAATTACATGTATAAAAGAATAGAAGGATGGATGGACAGATGAATGGATAGATGAATAAGAAATGATTGAGGGGGTAGACTAATGGAAAGATGAATGGAAAAAAAGAAGGGAGGGAGGAAGGAAGAAAAGGAGGGAAGTGGGAGGGGGAGGGGAGGGGGAGGGAGGAGAGAAGAAAGGGAGAGAGAGAGAGTTGATAGATTCGTAATGGATGGAAGAGTAGATTGACGAAAGGGTCCATAGGTGGCTGGATTTGTGGATTCATGATCAAAGTCCATAGTGAATACTTATGCACAGGACCACTTCAGGCCATATTTGAAGTGAACTTGCCTATTTAAAGACTCAGAGAAACTCAGAAAGCAGCGTTTGAATAAACAAAGTTGTAGATTATATTTCTAAGAAATAAACTAATTCCTCCTCAAAGAAAAAAGGTCCGCATTCTATTTACTCCAACAAGGGTACAGATGAAGGAAAGTGCAATTGCTCAGTCTGATATGACAGCTCAACATCAACACCCTCATTTTCACAGATCCCCTACGGCGTTCATATTTTCGAGCTGGGACAAGCTTCAGGAAATGACCTCGTATGCTCCCTGTTTTTCAGCATGTAAGTCACCATTTGGGGGACATAGATCCCTTTAAGAAACTAAAAAGAACTTTGACTCCAGAAAAATGTGCACAACCTCACATTCTTATAGATGTCTTGGGGTTTACAAATCACGTTCTTCTGAATCCAAGTGCAAAACTCCCCTATTCTCTGCTGATCTAAAATAGCAGTGCTATTCTGGTGTTGCACTTGGTCTTGGTATTAGTAAAGAAATAAATGATAATTATATTAATCAAAACACTAAGTCATAACATCAGCAATCGATCCACACCATGATGCTGCTGAAACTGAGACTCCACTCTTGACCTCATGTAATCCATTCTTCACATAGTGGTCAGAGTGGTCTTTGGAAAACATAAACCAGATCCAGTAACTCCATTGTTTGAAGCCCCCTGATAACTTCCTGGCACATTAGATTAAAAAAAAAAAAAGACTAGTATGCCATCCTCCTCCTCTTATAGTCTAGGGTACTGGTGAAGATTGCAGGGGGAACATGGGCACATCCCTTACGATTCCACCTAGCTCTTAGCAGCTGTCTCTAACAAGGGGTTGGAGAGGCTGAGAGAGAGCCACAGGGAAAGGACTTAAAGCTAATATAGATGGTTTTCTGGTTCACTAGAAAGAAACAGAGGCAGAGAGATAGGAAAAGATGATAAGAATACATATTTCAGTAGGTAACTGGTCACCTCAGAGAGACCAGGGTGATATCTCCCAGTCAGTGCCACTCACAATGTGTCTGCCTTCTCTGTTAGGTCTTTCTAAGGCTCATGCTATTAATTCTCAAAGCACCTTTTCTTCACAGCACTAACTTTCAATCACCTTATCTTATTCCTCATTTGGAGCCATTTCTAATCTGTTCATTCATTTAACAATGTTTGTCCAGCACTTAATAACATGATCATTATTGTGAGAAATAATAGGAATAATGCAAAGATGAAGACTAAAATGGTCTCTCCTCCAAAGAGCTTGGAGACAATCGGGGAGAAATAGACAGATAGCAGGGAAATCACAGTAGAGTGTGGTAAATGCGATGGTGGGGAAGATAAGGAGTTGTATTGGCTTGATTCAGATGGTGACGGATATGGAATTGTCCAATAATTTCCTAACACCCTACTCCTTAAAGATGCTCTGCTTAAGTATCTATAGCTGAGATATGAAACCAGATGTTGATTGCTGTCATCTGATTTGTGGCTATATGTTTAAAATTACATATATGACTATACCCCCACACAAGGCAGAGCACACACTCTACACACATACACATGAACTGTTCCCTTCATGAGCAAGTCACCAATCCTTCCAGGTGGAAGAGATCATGTATACCTTTGAAATTTCAGAGCACTACTTAGCCTCCATGATAAACATGGGTGTTTCATAACACAGTGTTTCTGCTCTGTGCTTCCCCAGGACTCTATTAATTGCTTAGTTATAGCAGTTGCTATGATGTCATGGATCTGTTTACCAGTCTGCTTCCACCAATAAGACTGGGAGCTCCATAAGGCATGGAACTGTGTGCCTTTTTCTTCTTTTTAATTCTCATCTCCTAACTCAATGTATAATACATAAAAATTGCTTAATAACTATATATTAAATGAACAGATGAATGGTTATAGAGAAGAAAGAAAATAACATTTACCTTTACTAATAAACTTTTATTCTGCCAGGCGCGGTGGCTCAAGCCTGTAATCCCAGCACTTTGGGAGGCCCAGGCGGGTGGATCATGAGGTCAAGAGATAAATACCATCCTGGTCAACATGGTGAAACCCCGTCTCTATTAAAATACAAAAAATGAGCTGGGCATGGTGGCGTGTGCCTGTAATCCCAGCTACTCTGGAGGCTGAGGCAGGAGAATTGCCTGAACCCAGGAGGCGGAGGTTGCGGTGATCCGAGATCACGCCATTGCACTCCAGCCTGGGTAACAAGAGCGAAACTCAAAATTTTATTCCTCATTGAACCTTAAAGAATGTGTAGGACAGCAGATTAGCATATAAGTCCTTTTAAAAAGTTATTAAACAGCTGTACAATGTTTCCTAATAATCTTACTCATACGAACCTGTGGTTATAACTATCACCCCACACTGTAAAGGAAAATAAAGTGAGCCAGTGGAAAGAGCACTGATGTGAAAGTCAACAGACTTAAATTCTAGTTTCAATTTTGTTGCTAATTTGCTATTAAACCTTACTCACTTAGTTTAGCTTAATTTAATAAGTAAATGTCTATGGATCTCCATTTCTCAAATCTGTAAACTGATTTGATAAGGCAGTTTCTGTGACTCCAGTTTTAGAATTTGGGAAAGGGAAGGTCAAGATATTGTATTTGTTTTCAGCAGATTTAATCAGCATCTTCAGGGCTATTCTGCAAAGGAGTCATCCTGAGAGCTTAATAATGGCTCTATCAAGGCTTAATTAGCTCTGATAACAGTCACCTCAAAATCAGCCCTGTCACTCTTCTATTCAAAACCCCACATTCATTCAGTCACCCACATAATTCCCCAATTTGCCTGAGAAAGCATCGGGGCCCTCATGAGACGATGACAAGGAAGCTCCATTGAGTATATTTGGGGAAACATGTCCCAGGCACTGATTCTCAAAAGAGGAATCCAAAAACATTTTTGGCAAATAGAGCATCTTTGAAATAAGTGTACACCTGGTCCTCCTTATCTGTAGCCTCTGCATCTGTGGATTCAACCAACTTCAGATTGAAAATATTTCAGTATAAATTAAAATAAGATAATTAATATAAATAATAGAGATAAAACAATACCACATAACAACTATTTATATAGCATTCATATTGCATTCGGTATTATAAGTAATCAGGAGATGATTCAAATTATGTGGAAGGATGTGTGTGGGTTATTCACAAATATTATGCCATTTTATGTCGGGGACTTGAGCATCCTCAGATTTTGGCATTGGTCGGGGAGGTTGGTCCTGGAATCAATCCTCCATGGATACTGAGGGACAACTTTTTATCTCCCAAAGGACTAGTTAAAGGTGGGAAATGCTCTAATGGATGTAAATTGTCTTTCTGTTTGCAAATCACTTGCAAATAAAATGTACTTTGCATATCTGAGATTCCTTAGCCAACCTCTTTGAAACTGTATAATGTTCATTCAGATTTTTCCTCTATTTATTCCTCTGTCCTTCCCTCTCTTTCTTCCTTCCTTCCTTTTCCATTCTACATTCTTCAAATGTTTGCATTAGCCACTGGGGGGCACCATCATTCATTCATTCAGTCATTCATATATTCATTCTCTTGTGGAACATTTACTGAGTAATTGCGGTGTTCCAAGCAATGTGTCAGGCCTTGAGGATGAAGAGAGATAAAATTAAACTGGTGTAGATTAGAATTCTAGTTTAACCACCCATTAGCCTTGGGTACTTCAGGGAGTCAAGCAACTCCGTAACCCAGTTTCAGAGGGTTCAAAGTGTAGCATTCAGCATAGTGCTAGCATATAGTAAGTGCTTTCACTACAGTTATTACTGCTGAGGATGTGTCTTCTCTCCTAGGGGTATATAAACAGTGGACAGAGAATTCCAGATCCTAAGGTCATCACAAGGTCTCACAGGATCAAGGAAAATCAAGGAAAGCAGATAGAAAACCCCCCTATCAGAAAGGAGGAAAATGGGTGAAAACTCAAGCAACAGATATATGACTGCCAGGACACTTGAGGAGAAAGATACTGATAAGGGTGAGAGGGGGTAATTTGAGAGGCAAGCAAAGTTTAAGATTATGTGCTGCCGTTCACACACAAAACAAACGCTTTGCAAACAGACGCAGGGCTGAGAGGCGAAGACAAAGGCCAAAATGTGGCTTGGATTAGAAAAGCCATGATGTGAGCTGAGGAGGCCCTTAAATACACTATTCCCCTCCCCCTTCTGTTTTGGAAGGCCAGATTTCTTTTCCCTTCTGACTTCTTTGCTCAGGGGTAAATGGAATTAACCACTGTGTAATGTTTCTGATGGTGACGCACATGCTGGGTCATGTGCTTTGGTTACGTAATGCAACATGCCTAAGGTTCCTGAGCTCTTTCTCCCAGAATCATTAGATATTCAACTGGTTCTCTTATCCAGTCATCCATCTGTTAAACAAAAAAAATATAGCCCCTTTCTTTATATGTCAGATACTGAGCTACACAGTGGAGAACTTGAGATGGATAAGATCCCGAATATGTGCACAGTCGATAAAAGTGTGCAGAAGGCATCGTGGGAAGAGATGAATGAGGTAGTGAGCAAGTTACACTTTGGGAGAAGTTATGGAGGGCTTCTCGGAAGAGAGAAACCTTGAGCAAAATCCTGTAAAGAAATAA